ACCACTGTCCATTTATATCAGCCTTATGAATAAGAATTACTTCTCATGGGGCAGCCATGCGATGCCCAACTTACCTGTGCACAACTTTAGCCGTGCTCGGGGCAGTCAGAGGGTTCTGTTTTTTTCCCTGCAGCAGTTTGTGAAACAGGGCTTTCAGGTAACTGTACAGAGACCGAGTTAGCTTGTGATCCGGGTGAGAGAGGGAAAAACAAATTTCTCTTCCCCTGTTGCGAAGTCAATCGTTCTCTGACCACACTCTTCCGCGGGGCGGGAGCGGGGGGGACGCTACGGCCGCAAACTCGGGCAAACATCCCACCTCGGGCCGCTCCCGCCGGCCCAAAGCCCCGAGGAGCTGCCTCCCTCGATGGGCGCTTTCGGCTGCGGCCGCCGCTCCGTTTCCCCCCCAGTTCCCCTCCGCTGGAGCCGGGGCGGCTGCCCCGGGCCCCGCCGGGAGAGCGGGAGCCGAGCCCCCGGGCGGCGAGGGGCCGTGGGCGGCCGGGAGGTGCTTCGGCGGCGGCCAGAGGCAGCGGGGCCGGGCGGGGCGGCGGGGGCGGGATCGGGGCGGTGGTGGTGGTGCCGGCTCCTCGCCACGCAGGTTAAGAGCTTGCGTGGGGACCGCGGCGGGAGCAGAGCGAGGAGTGGGGAGCCGAGGCAGCATGGCCCAGCCGCGCTGCCGCTCCGTGCTCATCACCGGCTGCAGCCGCGGCATCGGGCTGGGGCTGGTGCGGGGGCTCGCAGCCGCCAGTCCCTCCCCGGATTTCGTCTTTGCGACCTGTCGATACCCCGAGAAGGCGCAGGTAAGCGGGCCGGGGGGGGGGGGGGGGGGGCGAGGGGGGCGTGCTGCCAGCCCCCTCCGCTCTGGGGGTGCCGGAGCTCTCCGTCCCCAAGCTCCTTTGGAGAGGAGCGTGGCTGGAGGTGCAGCGCGGAGCACGTGTCCTGGCAGTGCTAGCCCGGGGCGGGGAGCGGGGGGGGGAATGGAAAAGGCACTTTTGGAAGCGCAGAACAGGTCGAGCATCTCCACCACCAAGCGCTGGTGTCCCGGCAGCAAGTGCCGGGGGTGGGGTGGGAGCTGGGGGCTGAGCTCGGGCCCGGGCTGGGCGGCCGGCTCGGACAGAGCCGCTGCCCTGCGGGGCTGCGGGGCTAAAGGTGGGATGAGCAGGAGCTCTCGCTCTTCGGCTATTCCTGTGCTCTCCCGAGAGGCGAGCTGGGAGCTGCAGCATCTCCCGCGCTCCTGCCAGCCGCTTCCTCGAGTCCCCGAGTTTCTTGCTGGATTTGCAGCTGGAGATAAGGCTGTCCTGGCCTTCCCCGCAGGGGTAATCCAGCCCCCAGAAGCCTTCCCAGGGAAACCCAGTAAAACTTTCCTTATCTCTTCTACGTGGTGTGTCTGTCTCTTCCCTTTCTCTGCTGGACTTGTAGTAAGTGAGAAGGGCCAAATGAATGATGAATTAAACACTCTTCTTAGTGCCCTTATTGGCTGGGTAGGGAGCAGAGCCTTCTGCTGAAAACATAGTAGCTTTTGTTACATGCTGCTGGTGAATTCACTCGCAGCCCTTTCCCCTTTCAGCCAGCATTCCCACTGCTCCAGCGCTGCAGCAATGTGTTCTTTGGAGTTCTATCCCTGGACTGTTATAAATGACTGTCAGACAAATGAAAGTAACTCCCCAAGCCTTTGGGAGGCAAATCGATAATGAGGGTTATCACTCTGCTCACTTTGTGGCCACTGGTGTCCCCTGTTGCATCTCCAGTCTGATCCTGACCCCCCTCACCAAAGCAGAATGCTGCTGGGGCCGCACTGCAACACACGCAGGTATCGCCCTTTTCCTTTCCTAGGAAAGCTCTAGTGCTCCAGAGCTGCAAGAACCTGAGCTCTCGGATGACCATCTCAAATCCCTGTGTTTTTGCCACAGGCATTCGGTAGGAGAATTGATCACAAAAGCCCTACTTCTGCAGCTCCCCTATTTCAAGCACAGCACAAGGCTGCCTTAACAAAAGGCAAATTGCCTGGCATGGGCTGAGGTAAACAGAGCTTGTATGTCTCTTCTCTTATGGTGGTTTTTATTCTTTTCAGTGCAAACTGTGATCACACCATGCTAGTGATAAACAGAATGTAGCAACTTTTGTTTACTGCTTAGCTACACAAAAACTTTAAAAGATGGTGCTGAGACTCCCCCTTCGAGGCTGGGAGTACAGGCTTGGTCAGGGAACGCCTCCAGCCTGACCACGCGGTTCTCCAGTAGCACTGTGCTGTTCTGTAGGTACTTGCAAAACTGAAGGAAAACGTCTTAATTTTGTTTCTTGTTGTCAAAAAAATCTCTCCATCACAAAGGCACATTTAGGATATTTCTGAATCGAATTGCTGAGAAACAGTCCAGCAAGACTGAAATCTGGTGCACAGACTGCCTTTCAGAGCCACTGGTTCCTGCAGCTTCCCCCCTCAGCCCCCCTTCTGCACTGCATGAGCTCCTGAACAGGTATTCACTACCATTCTGTTTGCTTTTAACTCCTGTTACAAGATCTGGCATTCGTCCCAGATGTATTTCCTGTTAGTGATTGCACAACAGTTCGGTGTAGTAGTGGTACAGGAAACCAGCAGAGACATACGACCTGTTGTTAGATAGAAATCTCCCTGCTTAGTTGTTTGTTCTAAAGCTGCTTTAGCTGGTGCTGAGGGAGGTTCTCTTTTTCACTAATTGGCCCCTGTGTTCAGCAATGATTTCGCATTATAATGGTCTTGGATCAATTACATGGAGAAGCGAAATGGTTCCTTCAATAGGAAGAGCTTCCTAGGAAACATTACACGGGTGTATCTTAACACAACTTGTGAGGGTTTTTACATGGCCAGTACTTAAAAATCTTGAGCAAAAAGGCTGGTAAACCTGCACAAGAAGATGAAATAGCCTTCAAATAGTGCAGTGTGCCTGGGAAGAGGCTGGGTCACTCCTCGCTTGCAGCAGCAGAAACCTGGAAAGGCTGCTGGCACTCATGTAGGCAGGAAGCTGGCCCGGAGCCACATTCCAGTACCCCGAGTGGTGATCCTGCAGGCCACATGGGATGCATCCTAAGCTTTTTTTTTGCTTTTTTTTTTTTTTTTTTTTTTTTTTTTGGTGGGGGACACACACACACAAGATTTGTCCTTGGTGGATCAGGGTGGGTTTTTGTTCTTTGTAAGGACCTCTAGGCCATGTGCTGTGCTTTGGCAGTACATCAATAGAAACCTCTGCAGCCAGCTGAAAGCATATTTCTAACAGATGGGTTTGGAAACTCCACAAGGGAGGGAAATCTTTACCAAAGGTATTGTAGTCTCACTAGTATTATCTGACCCATCTGCAATGCATGAAGTTGGCACAAAACTTTGTGACCTTCTGAGGTGTGTTTCCACCACGCTGCTAGTCCTTCTGGCTGGCAGAGGGGCAAGCACCGACGTGCTGGAGCCTCTAGCAATGGGACTCAGCACCATATACAACTATCTCAAAGCTTGGATCCAACTTGGCAATGTTGCTTGAGTGTGGTATGGTAAGGAAAGGCAAAGGTTCAGTGATTTTTTTTTTTTTTTTTTTTTCCCCAGAGAGAAAACTTTGCCTTCACTGACTTTCCAGTCAAATCTTGAAAACCCAGAGTTCAGGTTCCTGCACTCCATAGGCTGGCACCGCAGACTTGTCTTAGTGCATATGAAAGGGCTCTGCCCATCTAAGACCTGTTTGTTGACCATGCAGACTGAGCTGTAAAGTTGAGTGACTTGTTCTTTCTCTGCACACCTGAGGTGTCAGTGCTTGTTTTTTCTCTTGACAGTGATTCAAGCGGTCTAATTTTGTTTCCTCCCGCTTTGCTTTGTGATACGTGACCGTATGAAAAATCTTGCTTAATATGAGTGCGCTGACCGCCCAATTCTTCTCTGGGATTACAGGATGAATTTGGAGAACAGCAACTTCAGACAGTTCTCTTAAATTCTGCTCTCATCTGGTTTGGTAGATTAGCATTTTCCTGCTGCAGAATGCAGAGAGGGGAAGAAGGATGGGAAGAGCTTAAATCAAAAGCCTTTTAAAAATAACCTTCCAGTTTTTAGAGGAAAAGTGATTAAATATGCTTAGCTACTGGCAAATTCAGCACCCATTTTGGGGACAATAGTCAGCAGCAATTCCCAGGTAGCTGAGAGTTATCCCGAGAATCTCTTGGCAGAGTATGCTGTTGTTACAGAGATGACTGCATACTTTGGAGTTCTCCAAACAACGGACAGACAAGAGCCCCTAAGGACCTGACTTTAGAAAGAGATGCCGGAGAACAGTCTGACTCTGCTTTCCTCTGCTTCCTACAGAAAGCAGCCCATCTCCCGTAACTTGCTAACCCTGGGATAATGCTGAACAGCTGCAAGCTTTTGCATGTGAGTCTGTGCTGGCAGAAGTTGTAATAACTTGAGTTCTTGTGTTGAATAGCTCCTAGGTGGCCTCCACAGAACATTTGCCTAACAAATGGCCTTTAGATCACATGATAACATGCAGCAGGCCTGCAGGCACATCTAGATAACCGCTGCCCCTCCTTGAAAAGTACCCTACTAGACTCCTTCAGCCACACTTTGATTCTGATCTGCCTTTGCTTGGGCTGCTCCAGCAATGGAAGAGAGTGGAAGCAGTTACAAATCTTTTGCAAAACAATCCTGACGTCCTGTCTTTGCGCTCCAGATGGACAAAACCACAGTACAGTTATTATGAGGCACCCTGTATGGCTCATGAACCCATCTGTAATTCTTCCCCCACCTCCTGCTTTTCTTTCTTGCTCTTTCTTACCCCGTCCTGCTTCCCCATAAAAGGGGAAAAAAACTCTGGCCTCAAGCCTAGGACTACACCTAATGATGGTGTAGCCCCTGTAGTCTGTCCTCTGACTCGCTGAGGTCTGGAAGGAAGAGATGGCTTTCTGGGGAAGTGAGGTAGCTGAAGGGATGCAAACAGCCACGGTGTAACTGTGTTCACAGTGCTCCCTGAACTCAGCGCAGCTCTCCTGGGCTGTGCGGAGAGCTGAATGTGGGACCTCAGGACAGGAGCATCTCTTGTTCCTCCTGCTTTCCACGCAAGCCCAAGTTTGTTCCCAGGTGAACAAGAAAGTGTTCAGTCCCTCGCTGCTCAAGAGTCCTCTGCGGGGCTCTGGAAGGCTTCCAGGGCTTAATGTGCTGGTTCCCTTCCTCTGAAGTAGGAGATAGTGTTACTAACAGTGCTGTGTCTGTTCCCTTGTCAGACACAGAGCTCTCACTGAAGTGCTTCTGCACACTGCCTCTGTCAGGTTTTGGTTTTGTTTTTTTTTTTCTCTGCTACATGCCACGTGGTCTGCTATTGGGAAGACCAGCTGGGCAATCTCTGGAGCAGTGCTCTAGCAAGGTAGGTGTGTTACATCAGGCAAAGGGGGCTTTCTTGAAGACTTTCTAATTTTGGGTTATTGCAGTGTTGGGTTTTTTTCTGCACTTACAGCATTAAGGGCTGGCTCTTCTTGAGTCAGAGAGGACTGTGGATTTGGGGCGGTCTGCAGCAGCTTGGTGTAAGCTATTACACAATCAAACAGTAAGTTGGCTGTACATTGTGATACTGAATAGCCTGTCTGAGAGACATGGGCAAATATGTTACATCTCTGACTTTGTCCTGAGTGCAAGCAGGATGATGTGAAAGGATACCCAAGCTGCCTTTGCCTGACAAAGCTGTCTACAGGCTATATTAGTTTGGCTTGATTGCTTCCAACTGGCCTAGTAAATCTTGCTAAAAGACAAAGACAACATAACTTTCCTGGTTGAAATCTAGCAATAAATATCCTGTGTACTGATGAATCCGTATCTGGAGACTTGAATGCCAGAGGATCTTGTTTAAATTGGAGTAGGCTGACTTTGTTAATCGTAATTAAAATCGGCAAGCTGGAAACAACAGATGCTAATCAGAGTTTAAATTTTTCTTGGAATCCCTAGGAGATGATTCTCAGGGGTAACTATTGAGGTGCGGAGCACTTCTAGAGCTACTATGCTGAACACAGTATTCGGGGGGTTGTGTTGTGGGGTTTTGTCGGTTTTCTTTGTCTTGTTTGTTTTAAAATTGGCTATCACAGTACTCGAACTAAAAATGACTTAGCCTGGGATATGTTGGCTGTACCTACTGTCTTTCAATGAAACCGTGTAAACTGAGAGTAAAATACAAGCTGCGCTTCGAACAGCAGTGCCAGTGAGCTCACTTGTTCTGGTGTACACACTGCCATCATGGGCTGCGCTGGCCCTGTGAGACTGTGCTCCGAGCTCTTGTCTTCCCATGGACTTAACCCATTTGTCCTGGGTGCAGTGCCTCTGCGTTAGCATGCTGACATTAAAAAAGTCAGCACAAGTCTGCTGCTGCAAAAAAAAACACCAGACAACTTCGGTGGTGTAGGTTTGGTTTTTCTGTTGTTTTGTTTTGGTGGAGGTTTTTTTGTTTTGTTTTTAATGGGGGAAGAACAAAGCGTTTGACAGATGACCACAGTGAGTTTCAGGAAAGCTTATCCCTTCAGCGGGGAGACAATAACTAGTATATGCATGCATTGCAGTAATACTTTCAGAGTTCTCTGGACACAGGCGGCTTTTGATCTCTTTAATCAAAACTACTTGAGGTGGGTGAAGCAGCATACATGGCTGGTGGCTTCAAACTGCTGTATCTGATTGCACTGCCATGAACTTGTCTCAGTCCTTCTCTCCACATGTTCCTTCTAGTCACAGCAGGGAAAAGAATAGGCTTTTCTGCATTTTTAGGTTTACTAACTAGATTTTTCAGCTTGTGTTTATATTAGGTGGAGTAACATTCTTGAAGACCAAAGCTGTCTAAGTTAGCTTTGTGCCTGGAAGTTGCTTATGAGAAACTTAAACCACTGAAGTGGGAGTCACTTGTTAACTAAGTAATTAACTAAATGGAAAACCCATTGAATTTTAAATCTGATTTGCATGCAGTAATTGTCATTTTATACTGTTTACGTTCTGGAGAAGGCTTAATGCTACAGTGTTTGTAGTTCTTAATTGAACATATTGCTTACTCATTTCAGAAGCCTCCCAGTTGCTGTCACAACACAAAACATCTCTGGCCTTTCAGCAAAAGTTAGTAGCTTGTTTCTGTCAGAGAGTAAAGCAATCTGACTATAAATAAATGAATAAACCTTGAGAAGCCAGAACACTTCTGGAGTTTATTATCAAGTAAGTGATGCTGTCAAACTAAAGTCCAGTAGATGGTCCAAAGCCACATAATTATTGCAGGCCTTGACATGGCAGAACTATTTCTGACTATCAGTAAACAAGATAGCATGTTCTGGGCCTTTAATCTGTTGAAACCTGTCCCATTAAGCCCTATCCAAGGAAAGGAATGTCTTCTGATTTTGTGCTTCTGACTTCTTCCCCATCCTTCCCCCTCCCCTTAATAGCCTTAACTGCAGTTGTAGACTGTCCTCAGTGGGAGAACAAATTTTCTAAACAAGCCTGAAGAGAATCCTGCAGAGTATGAACTGAGATAAAAGATGTAATATATTATAGTTTTGACAGAGGACATGAAGTCCCTAAGTGTCTCCAAGTGGCAAAGAAGTACTCTTTCAAAATCAGCCCTCCTGACCTCTATTCCCAAAGGGTTCCTAAAGAATTGGATTTGCTTGAGCTGGAACATTTGGCCAGGGTTGCTCAGTCTCCTAAACGTGGCTGGGAGTATGTAATCCATCTGTTACATTTGGCCACACTTCCCACTTGGCTACATGGCACAGAAACCTCAGTATTCCAGCTGGGCCTATAAATCCAATTTGGACACCTTTTGTCCAGCACCGTCACCAGTATAGTACTGATTTTCTCCAAGAACACTAGTCATTCCTCTACTGAGAGGTAGTAGACAGGTGACTGAATTACAGCTCTCTAGCAGAGAGAGAATTGTTCTTGTGGACAGTTGTTGTGTATGTAACAACTTCATGTGTGCTTTACCTTCAGTTACAAGAATTGAAGCTAATGAGTGCTGAGAAACAGAATTTCCACAAGAAAATTGCTAGGAAACTTCTCCTGCAAACAGTAATTCCAAATAGCTTTTCTTAGGCATTCCCATTGCCCTGAACTGATGTCTAGCACTAGCTGAGCTTCAGGAGAATTTTCCTTTTCTTACGGAAGGGGGAATTACTGGCTTGGAATGCAGTCTGAGCACCAGGTCTGCTGTGGAACTGGCAGTGGTAGTCACTTGATGGAAGACCTTTGGTTCCCCTGCAAACACAGCCTCAAGTTGTACACACTGAGGACTAACTCTGTAATCTGGCCCGCTGGTATCTTAACTAGGCAGGTGAAGAGTCCAGTTTCTTGGAGAAGCTGATCTTGCTTTCAGGAAAGCTGCTCAGGAGGATGGAAAACAAAGTAGTATCACTGCCTTCAGTTCAATTACGAAAATAAATGGCAGTTACAGTTCTGGAGGTGCAGATCTCAAATTGTTTTATGTAATAGCCATGGAGATATATATATCTCCCTATACTTACCTGTATCTATATATATAAAAAAGATAACCCAAAGAATTTCTTCTTCCTAGGAACTCCAGCAGCTTAGCAAGCAATACAGCAATATCAAGCTCCTCCAACTGGGTGAGTAAAGGGCTTGTACAGAAGTATGTTCAACTAAATCAGGTGAGTGCATCTTAAGAAACTGGTCTCCTGGGTGATCAATAACTGTACATGAACTCTAGCAGCTGAAAACAATCACCCTTATCTTAAGATAACACTGGGGAAACATACTTCATGTAGTTTTCTGTGCATTGTCACCTCTGTGTGCTACGTGAATGTCCCCATTCAGACCAATGCCTTACCTTTGGTTTAGGATGTGTTGTATAGCGACAGACCAGTTCACTGTGGCTATTCTTGGCTCCTCTGCACAGATGTGGTCTGTGAAAACAGCATCAAGAAAGTAGTCAAGGAGGTGGAAGAAATCGTGGGAGACAAAGGTTTGAACTGCCTCATTAACAATGCTGGCATCAATGTACTTGCTTCCTTGGAAGAAGTCACAGCAGAGACAATGCTCACCATTTATGAAACCAATACAGTTGCCCAGCTGATGGTCACCAAGGTAGGAATTGGGAGGAATGTGCTTAATCTATGGTACTGTAAGATGATTTTCCACTAGTGATCTGGACATGTAACCCAAGTGTTTGTCACCTTGGGACTGCACAGATACAGGTCTGATATCTAACTGCATGCCTAGAGAGCAGCAAGAGATCCTTTCTATCAAGGATCTTCCTCTTTATTTAAATCCATCTGGTATAAGGTCAGTTTAGTGAACAGGCTGGGCTACGAGGTGGGCAGAAGAGACTGAAGGTCCTTGCTACTTACAGCTGGCTGTTATAGAAAGGTTTCCTATGGTCAGCTTGTCTGGGGAGCCATCACCATTCTGTGCCAGTGGCAGGGAGTTTTACTGCAGTTCTTCATACGGCAGAACCTGAGAGCCTGGCTTGCCTCGAATGGTCTAAGAGCAAGTTGACCAAATTAAAACAAACTCTTGTTTTCACAGGCATTTCTACCCCTTCTGAGGAAGGCAGCCCAGTTGAGCACAGGAATGGGCTGCCATAGAGCTGCAATTATCAATATGTCCTCTCTTGCTGCCTCCATGCAACTCGTCCAGGCAAATGAGATGTTCCTCAAGGTCTACCCTTACAGGATAGCAAAGGTTTGTAGGCTTCCCTGGGCTGTGCTCACCGGGTGAGGGCCGGTTGTGAGTCAAGGACCACTCTGAGCTTAAGACGATGATGTGAGGTGTGCAGCATGTCCTTGGACAGGCTGACACAGGAACTGTTCTTGTTCTTCATGTGTGTGGAAATGGGATCTGTGGAAGCTGTACATCTGGAGCAAGCATGCCCACTTTTTAAGAACAGGATCAGGAGTGCTCCATCACTACTCTGATGTACATCCATTTCAGAGGGACTTGGCATTCAGGGAAGAACTGATGCCATCAAGCATGTGTCTTATCAGCTGTGTTCCTCTTCAGGATATATACATGATAATGCTAGTTAGCGAGAGGTAGAGTTTTAAGTTTGTTACATCCCGAGACTGAGTTTGTATGAATAGTCAAGATTAGACATACAGTTTCTCCTACACCGCCTACTCATAAGCTGTCAATATACTTGTTTTCCATGTTCAGAATTAAAAAACTGAATGTTTGTGTACTGATTATTGCAGAAAAACAGAGTCCTTATGTCAATATTATCTTCCCCACAGCTCCTTAGGGATTTCAAATGCTACTTTATCTTCCTTCATAACTTAGTTTCATCTTTGGGCAGTGACCTTATGGCAACAGAGCTTTCACAATGCTTCTTTTAAGAGATATTTCTGAGAATGAGGCCTCACTAAGTCTGGATAAATTACTGTGACACTGTTACTGCCCCTTCTTTTGTCAAGAGACAGCATGGTGGAAGGGAAGTGCCAATTAGCTTGGCTTAAGGTCTCGCTCAAGGTCTGTAAAACTAGCACACTAATAGATGGTTTCCACTCTTGTAGACTGCACTGAATATGATCACCAGGTGTCTTGCTGCAGACTTGAAATCGGATGGAATTCTCTGTATTTCTCTGCATCCAGGATGGCTTCAGACAGACATGGGTGGAAACATGGTAAGTGACAGCTCTCTGAAAATGTCAAAGTATGACTCCCTTGTCCCAACCGTTGAGCAAGAACCCACTGTACAGTATACACTTCCATGTGTTGCAGAGGCACACTATGAAACATGAAAATACATCCCACTTGATTCTTGTAACTCCTTAAATGCATTTGATTCTCTTCTGTAGGATATTCTTAATAATAATCTAAGCTTGATTTGCTTTAGGCTCCCATGCAGGTGCAAGAGGCTATCCCAGGTATTCTCTCTGTTCTGGACCGTCTTGGTGAAAAAGAAAATGGTTCCTTCCTGGACTGGCAAGGGGAAACTCTACCATGGTAGAAGTGCACAGTATAGTACAGAAACAGCATGTCAGTCACTATTTAACTTGTGCCACTAATGTCTGTGTCTCTAGGGTTTTCTTACACGCTAGTCGAAATAGCCAGTCTGATATCCAGCCTCTCTCTAGGTGTATTTGAAAAGTGAGACGGCTGACTATTCTACTTGGTATTGCTACTGCTCTGTTCTAATGCTTCCTGCAAATACTACTGTGCCCTTAGTGATGGGCATCTCCTGGAACCATGTGAAATAGATTTAAAACTGCATGTTGAATCCAGGGGCTGGTTCCTCTTCACTTCCAAAACCAAAGTGGGCCTCACTCTCTGCAGAAGTAAATGAGCTGACCTCAGAGTAAGGCCAGTATAGGCTGTCAGATTCCAGTACATTCAATCTGCTGGAGAAATGTCTCTGGAAAAGATCCTTTGGTTTCATTCAATCCTAACTGAGCCACGGCTGAAATTACCCAGCTCTAAAATAGGTGAATTTGGTACTTCTGTAAATTCCTCCGCAACCTCTGAGTGTTCCCAGACACTTGCTTTGTTCCCAGTGGGTGACTAACATTCTGATATGGGGGTAGGAATGTTGTTTTGTACATAAACTTCTGAAGTGTCTTCAATAAAGTCTTGTTTAAACAAATAGCCTGTTTACTGAACTACTTCCATTTATTTCTCTGTATGTAGCTTTCTCTTCCCTGACCAGAGAACTGTGCTTCTACCTTGCAGGAAGAAACTTGAACCATTCCTGTCTCCTTTTGGCTAGATGGGTTTAACATGGTGGGGTGTACCTGAAACTGAGGCAGACCCTTGTTCTGGTCTGAAATACTAAAAGCAGCAAGTGAAAAGATCTCTGTGTTCTGGCTGAGGTAGGGATAAAAGCAAAAAGTTCTTTGAAGTCTGGGATTGGCTTCAACATTGCTCCCTCATGCCAGCTGATGCGGCACTTTCATGCTGTGCCAAGGCAGTGGGTTCCTGTACCAAGTAAGAAAAACGAACCAACAGCCGGGTAAGTGGGAGAGGCAGGTGTGGCTGTTCCTGGGCAGCAGCCACAGCAAGACCTGCCCTCGGCTGTAGCGGAGGGTGTGGGAGCACCCGGTGTCTCGCTGCCTTCTGTGGTCCCCACACGGGCAGGAGTATGAAGTTGCACGCTAACAACTGCTCATTACGCCATGCTTCTGTGATAAAAAGAAAACACAGGGCTTTGTGATGAGCTGAAAGCCACTGGCTTCCCATCTCAAACTGGCTGTGGGATCAGCACAAATCTGATAGTTGAGGGGCAAGCTCACTAGGTGAACTGTTTACTTTGAATCAGATGTTGGATGCTGGGTGGGGGAAATGGAGTTGGCGTGCGTTCTGCAGCCCTCTGCGGGGAGCGCTGATGGAAACAGTCCCTGCTCCGTGAGATGGGGGTAGCAGGAGAAAAACAGACGGCTGCAGGCGAGGAGAGGGCCTGTTTGCAAAAGACTGGAAAGCGCTTCACTTCCCGGCATGCACCGAAGCGGCTGGAGGCCACTGCCCGAGGCCTCGCTCCCGCCTGACCCGCTGTGAGGGCGCAGCGGGGGCCTGCGCCGCCTCCTCCGGCCGTGCCGCGGGCGAGTACCTTCACCCCACCAAACGCCCGCCCATGGCAAACCCTCCTCACGCTTTGCCGGGACAACCACCCTCTCCCGGAGCTCGCTTCCCACTCAGGGCCGGTTGCTAAAGGCGGCGGACCCCGGGCCAGGCCGCGGGGCAGGAGGAGACGGGAAATGGCGGGCGGGCGGGGGGGAGGAACGACAGCAGCGGCGGCAGCGCGGCCGGGCTTCACGGCGCATGCGTGGCCGCGCCGGCGGACGCCGATAGGGGGTGCCGCGCTGGGTGTTGGGGCGCCGGAAGTTCCGGCGGGAGGGGAGGGAGGGTGAGTGATGGCGGCAGCGAGCTCTAGGGCCGGGCCGGATCGGATCGGGTCTCCGTCCCCGTCAACGCCGTGTGGGCCGTGCTTCGGGCAGCGAGGCGGTGACCGGGCTGCGGAGAAGGAGAGGGGAGGAGAGAAAGGGGAGAAACTGCCCGCCGGCCCGCCTTGGCAACGGCGCGGCGTTAGGCCTGCGCGGCTGTTCCTCACGGCCTGAGGGCAGCGGGCGCCTTTTCTTGCGCTCCGGTTCTGTGGTGGCGGTAACGGCTTCGCGCGGGGCTGGGCAGAAGTGTGCTGGGGGGTCGGGCTGAAGTCGCCTTATTTTTAAACCTGCGATAGCCGGAGCTTTATTAATCACCTCTGCAACTCCGCTACCCCAGGGCTTGTGGGCCAGGCCCCTAGAGCACAGTCAGCCTGTTGGTAAAATGAAGAGGGTGCTTAGAGCGTCTCAGCCCATCTTTTGGGGGTTTTGGGTTAAATTTAGAAGTAGGTTTGTTTTTTTTTAGTGTAAACGTTTGCCTCATTGAATAAATGTTTTTATTTTAGCAGTCGTTACTGGCTCTGACAGTGAACAAAGCGAAACAATATGTTAATATCACAGCTGGCTTCCCAGTTATTGAAGGCTTCACGAATTGCAGGTAAACAGATGTGTGACCTGGGTTTTTCTTCTGGGGTAATCAGACTCCCAGAGATTTCTTTGTTCAGCAAGCAGTGCAAGAGTGGTGAGGCTGTTGTTGACTGAGCAGTTGTCAAATGATACTGTCTCTGATCTGTTCTGTCAGAATTGTGTAGCTCTGATTTGACCTTTTAAGCTTGAGAGGGGATTCCTTAGCAGCAGAAAAGCTTGATACAGCAAACAGTTCCTAGCCATTCCAAATTACACTTACATAGTTTACACAGTAAAATATAATTTTAGCTGATGGCATTACAGCAACATAGTTAAACTAAAATGTAAAAATATTTCCTTGATTTTGTGATGGGACTGTAACTTATAAGCAGCTTCCTTTTTAGATTATTCTGGCTACAGTTGTCTAGTGGTTTGAGAGCTGGGCAGAGCTGTTCTTAAGATACTGTTTGAAAATTCTGCCTCTGAAGTGAAATTCTTTTCTTTTCAAAGGCCACCTTTTGCCAAGGTCAGTGTCATCCTTTCTTTGCTGTCGTTCTACATCTGCACACTACAGCACACAGCCATCTAACAAGAGTGGAGCCCAGCCTCAGCAGTGGTATGCTCTGGACCCTGAACTGGAAGAGATGCTCATCCCCAGAAAACTTTCCATCAGCCCCTTAGAAAGCTGGCTGACGGTTAGATACTCCCTTCCTAAAGCAGAAGTCCTTAATGCTCAGGAAGAAGTGGGCTGTGAACCTCTCCAGCAATATGACTGTCCCCCGTCTGAGGGGGGAGCTGGTGTGGAGGAAGGAGAAGGAACATTTAGCAACACACTTCAGTGTAAGAACGTTCTGAAGATTCGCAGAAGGAAAATGAATCGGCACAAGTACAAAAAGCTGCTAAAGCGAAGAAAGTTTGTACGGAAGAGGATAAAAGAAGGTCGCAAGAAGAAACGTCAGGTAAGCTCAGGGTAGAGAGAGCTTGACATAAATATGCCCACTCAAACTGGCCTCTCAGGTATTGGATTGTGTTTTTAGGTGGATTTGATTTGGGGAAAAATGGCAGCAGATCGGAGAGCCTTAACAAATTCAGTATTTGCTGGTACAATAGCTTTTTCTGGTTTGTGTTTGACCTGTACATCTTCAGTTCTAATTTAGAATATTTCTATGGTTGTAAGCATATGTGTGGCATCATTTTTCTTGCGTGACAGTAACTTACATGGCTAATGGAGAAGAATTTTAGCATTTGTGTGAAAGATTAATTCATGTGTCTGTGTTACATCAGGGAGACTGGTTTAATTTCTTTCCTGTCTTGCCAATATCCTCAGGTGCTTTCTCTTGTATTTTTCTGTATAGAAACCTTTTAGTTTCCTTAATAGAAGGGGTGAGGGAAGATATTGGCCTTCATTCAAACTGTACGTGTTCTCATTCAGTGCTGCTTTTCAGTAGTCTGTTAGGTTTGCTATGATATAGTTTAGTTCATTCTTTGGTAATTTTCACCTTGCCTAGATGCAACCTGGGATTAATTGTAATTCCATTTCTTCAGATTTGTAGCAAGCAGTGTTGAACGCTTTCTGATGAGTAAATCCTCCTAATTTTCTTACAGTTTTGTTTTCTGTCTTCTCAGTTTTCCTCACACAGGACTTCATAAATAATGCTACCAAGATCTTGTGCATTTTAATGTATTTTCTGCAGTAACACTACTTATTTTGACATTTAGAACAAGCTGCCTACTTTAAAAGCATTTGTTTCCTTTATGTGTGCTATACCTAGATTCTCCTTGGGACACCTGGGTGGTGGCTGAATACTTGAGTGTTGCTTCTGAGCAATGTCACTTTTTTTTTTTTTTTTTTTTTTTTCTTTTTTCCATTTCAGATGAAATTTGAGAAAGATTTGGAGCGCATCTGGAAAAGAGCTGGTTTGAAAAATCCTCCTGCGGGATGGCAAACACCCAAGATATTTCTGAAAAGTTCAAAGCGATAAAAACACTTGTAATGAGTTTTAGCCTGTAATTGTAATAAAAAAAATATTTAAGTATGCCAATTACTTTTAACCTTTTTCTGAGTGGGATGAAATTAGTAGGAGAAAACTTTCAGTCTTGGTGAGCTTTTTTCCAAGGACAAACCTGACAGCAATGTGCTTTTCCTCCTTGAAAGAATGGTGTGAGCCCTTGGATAGTGATTTGGCACTGCCGTGCACAGCCCTGTGCTGCTGCTCCCAACCAGCAAAGGTGTCCTGGACTGCAGCTGCATTTCTGAAGTTACTATTTAAGGTTAGACTGAACTAACTGTATGAGAAGAACAATTGGTTGTGGGAGATGGGATAACTGAAAGAATTCTTCTGATTGCAAGTCTAACTATAGAAGACACAAGCATTTTGAAAAGTTCAAAATCGCATTCTTTCCTTGTCTTACTATAGAAGGGCTGGTGTTTACTAAGAGTTATGGTGAAATATGAATTGGATTGGAATTCCATAGAATACATCTGCAAAAGCTTTAATTCTCACTTACCTGAAGCCATACTGTTATCTGCAATAGGCATTGCATGAGTATCCTTAAAAGGCATACTTATTTTTTCTGTTCTGTTTTGTGCTAATAAAAAATGTGGGTTTTTTTTATTCTACAATTGACCCCTGTTCATACAGAACATCTAGGTATTGGTAACAGTAGAAGTTCAGAGCTAAATATTCATTAACTACAAAAACTGTTTTGTGCTTGAGACAACCTTGATGTAATTGGTTTTACATGATTGAAGAGTTGTGAAAGCTGTGAAAAATACAAATGTGTTTTGTTTTTTTTAAGACCCTGACAGAGGACTTTATATCTGAGTTCTGTTTTGGGTTCTGCTTTTGATTTTTCTGCTTGAGACAGTTAACTTCTGTTCTGTGTGATGTCATTCTTCAGTGTCTGTATTCCAGCAGATAGATGGGATGGACTGACCTCAGAAAAAGGAAGGGAAAAAAAATGAGCTTCCTTAGGCTCATCATTCTGCAGCTTACAGGGGAGCTACCCTGAAAATGCATTCTCTTTTGTCTGCTAGGAGCAGGACACTTGACTAAACCGAAAGACAAAAATCATCTGTGGAACTCATTGCTACAGGGTAATCTTGCTGCAGGAAGGACAGCTGACTCCTCACAGTGAACGTGTCCAAGGTTCTGTGCGTGGCTCTGCTGCTCTTGTCACTAGATGGCAGTAAATCCAAAGCCTCTGGAACTCTAGCCATTATGTAGAAGCTAGCTGGATCTTTATGTTGGTATTTTAAGGAAAGGGTACACCCACATTTAAAAATTGATTAATCATGCTAGAGAACTGTTGGCATTTTGAGAACTGTATTGAAGTCCTGTAGAAACATGTGGTTAGCACATTTCAATAGTTCTTTTTTCCAAACCATATTTTAACAGTAAGCAACTTTGATCAAATATTAAAAAGATGTTCCGTCCTTTTTATGCTTTAAATAGACACCAGTTGCTTTTAACTGAGACCAGTAGGACTCTTTCATTCAGCCCGTTGTCAGGATTTCAACAAAGAGGAGGATGTCTAGCCATGAGCCTTAGAAACTCGCCAAGCAACAGAAGATTGAGTGTTAATTCAGGCTTACAGGTTTGTTAAATATGCAGAGTGCATCTAGGCGTTTCTAAAATATCAATACGCATTCCCTGCACAAGGATGCATAGATAAAAGGCTGGGCATGGGAGGATTAGCACCTTTGAAGTTAGGTCCATGTCTTTTTTCCCCAGTCACATTTGTACTAAGAGTCTTTATGCCAGCATTGTTGGTCTCTGTCAGCCCTACAGCTTCTTTTACTGACTCTTAGTCCAAGCTTGCTTTTTTGTTTTTTTTTTTTTTTTTTGTCTGGGAAAAAATGATAATCAGTTTGCATATTTCTAGGAGATTGCTGGCTGCTGAAGAGTTGGGATATCTTTGGAATTGCACAGAGCAAAAGACTGTAAAAGACAGCAGTATCATGCCCTGCTCATTTACCAGTGTTGTACCTCTGATTCCAGTGTTGAGGTTTGTTCTTCCTCAATTTTGTCTTAATCCTATAACTTGTATTTTTGTTCTCTGTTGTAGTCTAAATCTATTAACTGACCAATGGTATGTTACCCATTTTTATCCTCTAATGGTTAGGTTGGTCTTATCTCTCCCTAGTTTGACATAAATCCTCTCTAGTTCTTGGGGAGCATCATGGTGGGGCTGTAGATCACAAACAAGCCAACTGTACTCATGTCTGCTGGGATCACGCAGGCAGAGAACTTTGTATGTTGTTCTCCTAGATCAGCACCACCACCTTGCTCTCTAACTTGTTTTTACATTGGGATAGTAACTAGAAAAGAGAAATACTGAAATAGTGGGAATTGCAAAGGATAATCATTTGGTACCTTCTGATGTTCCAGTGCAAGTGAGTTCTTGTACTATGGCAACATTCGTGTTATATTAGGGTACTTGGGTGGTGAATTGCAAGTCTCCACGGAGTAAAGTAGCTTATTAAATAGTATGCTCTCTGAGTAGTAGTCCAAATTGTAGTCTGCCAAGAGTAGTCATTAGTTTTACATCTATTAGACATAATTACACAACCATGTGTAGAAGTCTGGAACTACCATGTAATTTAGAAAAGTGTCTGTAAACCATCCACGGCAGTTACTGCCAGTCTTAGTCGTATAAATGCTATGTTCCTTTTTGTCATAGTACCTCAAAGCATGTCTCAGGATTTGTATTTTTTTTTGTGGCATATATTGCAAAGGCTCTGCCTTTTGTGGTACTAATCAGATAATTCATACCAGCGTTGTATCAACTTGCTTTAACTCTTTTGACTGCAGGATGCAATTTTAAATTTGCACTTTGCTAAACAGAGAATCAGATAGACAAAAGCTGCACCTACTTTTCTGTAGGGGGAGCATGAGTACATAATATACTATTCACAAAGCTTTACGATGAGTTGCTCTTCCTTTCCAAAATACATGCATACCAATGTACCTGCACACTTAGTAAATGTATATGTGTATATGTAGCTGTGTCAGCAAAAAAAAAAAAATAGGCTGCAAACAGGAAAGGTTTGACTTTTATAATTCTCAAAATATTTAAGACTTAAAGATTTCTCCTTTATCTCATTATTCTGCTGTTCTGAGAGGAAATGGCTGAAAGTCAGCAGGAGGTTGCTAGATGAATTCCTGTTCTTTATTACAGAGACTGGATTTACCCAGTGGGATAGTGATTTTTGTGTTTGAAACTGCCTGACAGTCACTGGTCTGGAAAGGTCCCTCAAAATTGGAATATAAAACCAATTCCACTCATGCTTACATCTCTAATTCTTGGATTTAATGCACTTAAATACAGACAGCAAGCTCAGTTAGCTGAACAGAACATCCAGTTTGGTAGTTTTATCACAGTGATCAGGTTTGAATTTTGTTCTGAATTTTGTTTCTCTTAGCCAAAGCATCATGTTGCAAACTCAGAGGGTGTTCTCCCTTTTGATAAGGTCAAAACCCAGCAGTGTGGTGGTAGTGGACTTCTGACATAGAAACAGTATTTCTGCCACATCTCTCTAATGCTAGCAAATAATGTCTGCTGGCAAACTTAAGATTTTTAGTTGTCTTCTTGACCTGGATAGCAAAGTTTCTTACTAGAGTAGGAATGAATTAATTTTTAGGAGTCTTCTCTAGAAAATGTGATGTTCAGTTGCATCAGTGTGGATTCTTCAAGTTTTTTAGAGGCTTCTGGACATAACAGTTCTGTCATCCACACAAATATTAATCCAATATAATTTACAAATAACTTACAGCTGAGAATCAGGCCTGATTGTATATGGGAAAGGGAGCAGTGCAGAAGAACTGCTTGCTGCACGTTTTCCTCAACTACTGTGTTGTCTAACAATCCCAGATAGGTTTGCTTGGCTCAGGGTTAGGAAAGGCTGGATCCACTGCCAGGACTCTGCATAGCTGGACAATTGCTTAGTGGTCCACAGTGGTAGAGATGAGGTATTGTCAGTGACAAGAGACTTTTAGAAATAATGTTGAAGCAGGAGATTTGTGATACTGATGGGGAGTAGAAAATTTATTTCAATTACCTTTTATAAAGATAGCAGCCACCCTATTTCAGTGCAAATGAGGAAGCCAAGAAGGTTGGTCCCTTTGGTAACAAGGATTGAATCCCCAAATGGGTGGAAAGTAGAAACATTTAAAGTGTGTCTAAATTGTGACAGTTTAGTAGTTCGGCTTTATCACTTCATGCACAAACAGCAGTTAACCACAGCACCTCTGATGGTCTGGAGTCTACAGAAGAGATTTGAGCTCTATGTGGCAGCCCCTTGCTCCAGTTCTCCGCAGGAACAGGCTTCTTGGTAATTGTCTGCTGTAGTTTTGGCTCACTTCGAATTGATTCTATTCAACTTTGAGTTTCTTGTAGGAAAAGGGAAGGTCCAGCTGTCAATGCAAGATGTTCCTTTCCTTTGGAAATCTTGTGCTTACCCTACAAAGCATGTTGGATAGTCTGCTAGCTCTTAAGGCAGCTCTGAGGTCATGCAATGAGTATGAGTGCATGGATGCCCCCTCCATGCTGTCCTTGGCACAGACAGAAGGACAGTCTGCTGGCTGTCTGGGAGGGAGTCATGTGGAGAGGAAATGGAGTGGAATGTAATGATGGCTTCTCCAGCTCCTGCTCGTGAGACCAGACCTGAAGCTGATTCAAACCAGGAGCTCCACAGGTTGTAACGGGACCAAAGACTTTACACTGAAGGAAACCACTGATCTGAATTGAGGGTGTTTGTAGACATGCAAAAGTTTTGAGTATCCTGAAATCCTAAAGCATGGGGAGCCTGGAAAAAAATTTATGTTGCTATTACCGAGACAGTCAGATTTTGTTAGGCTGATAGACTGTCACCTTGAAAAGGATCCAGGGTCCAGACTGAAATAGTTCATTCAGAGGGTTTTCAATTAGGATTTCATGGGAACAGGCACATGTGTGTTGAAGTCCTGAGGACAGGCTGTGGGTTGCTCAGTAAACCTGGCTGCACACAACTGTAGCAGCGAGTGTAAAGATTATATACTGTTGTATTGGCCCTTGACAGGTAGTGTGTCTAAGAACCTGTGTTTTTGGAGTTTTGTGGTTTTGGGGTTTTGTTTTGGTTTTTTTGGGGTGTCATTTTTTTTGTGGTGGTGTTGGTTTTGGGGTGGGCTTGTTAGTTTGATGGGTTTTGTGTTTGTTTTTTTTTTTGTTGTCGTTGTTTGGGTTTTTGGTTGTGTGGTGGTTTGGGTTTTTTTTGTTTGTTTGGTGGGTCTTTGTTTTAGTTTTTGGAGGTTTTTTTACATTAGAGGGAAGGGTTAGTGCCTTCTCCTTTGTTGCAGGAGGATTTATCTTTATACCATAACTCTGGCACTGGAAGCCCAAATTGATTTTCTGTTTGTATTGTGGGAACTGTTGTTCATTCTTCCATTAGTAAATTCAAGACCAATCTTAAAAGGAATACATGTTACCCCATGTCAGGGAACGTTTATGAGCAGCTGGTGTACAAAACACACATTTCAGGGGTTAATAGGACCTTGCTCCTGTTACCTGACTACCATTGCCCAATAATTCCTGAGCAGAAATAATGTGTACCTTTACTCTGGTGAGCTAGTACCCATATTAAATGGGACACTTTCATATTAAAAACTGTCAAAATGTTACCTAGGATAAGTTGGTGTATGTACATTGGCTTCAGTACCTCTGACTTGGTCCTTCTTAAAATATGAAGCCAGCTCTACTGCAGTGGGTGTGAACCTTAATCCATCTATTCCAATATT